GCAATGAATGAAAATGATGATTTTCTTACTCACGTTGGCACAGTCAACCGAGAATGTGAGAGATTTCGACTCAGGTCCTTAACAGATGATCAGTTCAAAGCCTTGATCCTCATATGCAGTCTCCAATCTCCTCGTTTCACAGATATCCGAACTCGACTGCTCAATCAGCTAGAACAAAATCCCAAGTTAACATTACATGACATAGCTGATGAATATCAACGGCTGATTAATCTGCAGAAAGACACACACCTGGTCGAATCAACACTTCCGAGAAGCTCTGATATTCGTGCATTACGAAAGAGCAAAAATCTCTCATCATCCAGTCCTGACCCACCTTCTTCTAATGTCCCGCGGAAATCTACAGATACTCGTCCAACTTCACAAAATACGACAAAGAAGACCCCTCCATCACCATGCTGGCATTGTGGCGCGTGGCACTTTGTAAAGTCTTGTCCGTACAAAAATCATCGTTGCAGCAAGTGCAACATCGTCGGTCATAAAAATGGTTTTTGTCAGCCACGCAAACCCAGATGTCAAAATCCAGCAAAAGCTCAACAAAATGTTGGTCCTAAATCCCCCAAAAAGTCATTGAGTCTACGCGCAACCCGTCAAGTCACAACGCCAGGTATGCGGAAATATCTTGATCTTCAAATGAATGGTCATGATGCACGTCTGCAGCTAGATACCGCCTCTGATATTACTGTTATATCAGAGAAACTTTGGAAATATATTGGCAGACCACCTATCACCAATACTTCCCAGTCTCTTGTCAGCGCCTGTGGTGGGCAGCTCAAACTTATTGGTGAACTCAAATGTTCTGTTTCCTTCCGCAATACCAAATTCACAGGAATTTGTTACGTCACGAAGAATGATTTAAATGTTTTGGGACTTGATTGGTTCGATCGTTTGCATCTGGCTGATGTCCCACTAAATTCTCTACGCAATACAGTGAAGAAGCATAAAATGCTAGACAATTCCGGACGGAGCCGAAGCCGCAAACCCAACAATCAGACGAAACGACAGGCGTCAACAACAAGCCCAAAGGTCCCAGATAAACCCCCAGGTAAACATCCTACTAATCATTCATCTTCTCAAAAGGGGAGGTGATATGTATCCACATATATATATTTATGTGTGTGTGTGCATGTTGGTCTCTCTTTCTGTTTGCTCGGTTAGTCTGTGACCACTTCACTTGTATGGACTTGTCTCCTTTAATAATGTGTATTCTCCTTATATTATATTATATATAATATGAGTGTTTGTTGACAGTCCGTTGCTTGGTGACATATATCCATATATGTTTGTTGGCATGTCTGCTATATTCGCTATGTATAATTGGATCGACACTCCATTATAATTAGCCATTCATGTTAAGACTGTCTAATGATTTTTCCCACGCTTGTCTGAATTATTTATATATATTCGCATTCACAATTTGTGTGAACTACTTTACTTTACAACTACTTGACTTGCTTACCACTTTGGTGTGAGACCATTTATTTTCGTCTCCTTGTGTTTGGACAATAGAAGTATCATCGCAAACCTAGTGGTCTTCTGATTTCCGCCTTCTCGCGTCAGGACTATTAGTTTCTCGACCAGTCCATAACAATAATTCAGCGACGAGTCCATAACAATTTGGCGACGGGGAAACTAGAACATAACAATTTGGCGACGGGGAAACTAGTACATAACAATTTGGCGACGGGGAAAACTAGTACATAACAATTTGGCGACGGGGAAAACTACTATTAACCACTCAGCAGCAGCAACATAACAATTTACTATGGATTATTCTAAATTGGAATTATTGTTTGAACAACAATTGAAATTAATGGAAATGTTCGTCAACCAACAGACTGGTCCAGCTTCACCTTCAAGCAATCCCAATCATACCATGCTACCATCTGTCGACGGAATTGTGAACAGCATTTCACAGTTCAATTATGACCCAGAGGCTAATGTCACTTTTGACACATGGTATCAACGTTATGAGGATTTATTCACTGTTGATCTCGCCTCACAAGACGATGCCTGGAAGGTGCGAGTTTTGCTACGTAAATTGGGTCCGGCAGAATATGAACGGTACTGCAACCTAATTTTACCACAGAAACCACGTGACAATTGTTTCGATGATACAATAAAGTTGCTGCGTGAACATTTCGGAGACCACTCCTCATTATTCAGTATACGTTATCGTTGCCTCAAGCTGGCAATGAATGAAAATGATGATTTTCTTACTCACGTTGGCACAGTCAACCGAGAATGTGAGAGATTTCGACTCAGGTCCTTAACAGATGATCAGTTCAAAGCCTTGATCCTCATATGCAGTCTCCAATCTCCTCGTTTCACAGATATCCGAACTCGACTGCTCAATCAGCTAGAACAAAATCCCAAGTTAACATTACATGACATAGCTGATGAATATCAACGGCTGATTAATCTGCAGAAAGACACACACCTGGTCGAATCAACACCTCCGAGAAGCTCTGATATTCGTGCATTACGAAAGAGCAAAAATCTCTCATCATCCAGTCCTGACCCACCTTCTTCTAATGTCCCGCGGAAATCTACAGATACTCGTCCAACTTCACAAAATACGACAAAGAAGACCCCTCCATCACCATGCTGGCATTGTGGCGCGTGGCACTTTGTAAAGTCTTGTCCGTACAAAAATCATCGTTGCAGCAAGTGCAACATCGTCGGTCATAAAAATGGTTTTTGTCAGCCACGCAAACCCAGATGTCAAAATCCAGCAAAAGCTCAACAAAATGTTGGTCCTAAATCCCCCAAAAAGTCATTGAGTCTACGCGCAACCCGTCAAGTCACAACGCCAGGTATGCGGAAATATCTTGATCTTCAAATGAATGGTAATGATGCACGTCTGCAGCTAGATACCGCCTCTGATATTACTGTTATATCAGAGAAACTTTGGAAATATATTGGCAGACCACCTATCACCAATACTTCCCAGTCTCTTGTCAGCGCCTGTGGTGGGCAGCTCAAACTTATTGGTGAACTCAAATGTTCTGTTTCCTTCCGCAATACCAAATTCACAGGAATTTGTTACGTCACGAAGAATGATTTAAATGTTTTGGGACTTGATTGGTTCGATCGTTTGCATCTGGCTGATGTCCCACTAAATTCTCTACGCAATACAGTGAAGAAGCATAAAATGCTAGACAATTCCGGACGGAGCCGAAGCCGCAAACCCAACAATCAGACGAAACGACAGGCGTCAACAACAAGCCCAAAGGTCCCAGATAAACCCCCAGGTAAACATCCTACTAATCATTCATCTTCTCAAAAGGGGAGGTGATATGTATCCACATATATATATTTATGTGTGTGTGTGCATGTTGGTCTCTCTTTCTGTTTGCTCGGTTAGTCTGTGACCACTTCACTTGTATGGACTTGTCTCCTTTAATAATGTGTATTCTCCTTATATTATATTATATATAATATGAGTGTTTGTTGACAGTCCGTTGCTTGGTGACATATATCCATATATGTTTGTTGGCATGTCTGCTATATTCGCTATGTATAATTGGATCGACACTCCATTATAATTAGCCATTCATGTTAAGACTGTCTAATGATTTTTCCCACGCTTGTCTGAATTATTTATATATATTCGCATTCACAATTTGTGTGAACTACTTTACTTTACAACTACTTGACTTGCTTACCACTTTGGTGTGAGACCATTTATTTTCGTCTCCTTGTGTTTGGACAATAGAAGTATCATCGCAAACCTAGTGGTCTTCTGATTTCCGCCTTCTCGCGTCAGGACTATTAATTTCTCGACCAGTCCATAACAATAATTTAGCGACGAGTACATAACAAATTTGGCGACGGGGAAAACTAGTACATAACACAATCAGTTCGGATGAGGCGGTAGAGATCCAATGGATCTTACTAGCTTTTGGTTTTAGCTTATTCACAGCTTTTACAGCTGTATCTATGGCTGCCTGAATATTCTTTCAAGCTTCTGCAGAGTGAGCACGGCTGTCGAACTCAGATATGCGTTTAGCTAGTTCTTCCTCAAATAGGGGTTTAGTTTCCTGATCGAGCTGGGGGGCGTAATGGCTTTGATGCCAGCTGTTTCCTACGCCCGTTCAGTCGTAAGCACCAAACGTGCGCGGACCAGTGCGTGATCAGTATCTACACACATGTTCCAGAAGGAGCGACAATCTCCTACCGACCCACGCCAACGATAGCTTGTTGCTATGTGGTCTATTTGTGTCCAGCGTTGGTTTGATGAAGGGGGTCGCCAGGTCACATAGTGTCTCTCCTTGTGTTTAAAGTCAGCGCTTACAAGAAACAAATGATTATCTGAGCAGAAGTGTAGGAGACGGTCACCGTTGTCGGTTCGCTGGCACGGGACTCCATAGGTGCCACCGACATCCTTCTCAGATTGATGCAGTTTCCCTACTTGAGCATTAAAGTCACCAGCTAGAACGACTATATATGAGCGTCTAGCCTTTCGCACCAAACTAGACAGCTTTTTCTAGAACTCATCCTTCGTTTCATCCGAACTGCAGTCAGTGGGGGGGGGGGTAGGCGGAGATTACGAAAAGGCATCGGCGAGTAGTGCAGTCCTTTCTCCTTTTTACTGATCCGTTCAGACGGACAGCACACATTTGGCCGTCTACCGGGATCGAGTCAAGTAATGTCTTTTCTGCCCTAGTAATCAAAGCTAATCCTCGTTAACTAGCTGTGGCATCTCCTGACACCCTCAAGGTGAATTTTGCAGATTCATCCTGTTGGCCAGGTGGGGTTAGGTGAATAACCACGCTCAAAATCGTTCTAAATGGCGCAGATGCATCCACACCCTGTGACTTATGATTTCCAATGAAACTGTTTTGTTATTCGTTACTACTATTCCTTTGTCTCACACCTCTGTTTACTGTTTCTATTATGCATTTCTATTATGACATCTTCATTTTACGCATCAAATAAGAATGAAATAAACAAAGGGTTAATAAAATAAGCAAACACACCATCAATTCTCCTGGTTGATATTCATTATTTGTATCCAAAACAGTAGCATAACCATCTCGGGTAAATCGTCTAAAGCCATAACGACCTTTTAAACGATCCAAACAACGTTTTAGAGCTGGCAATCGAGTTTCTGTTGAGCACGTACCATATGCTGGCCAACAGAGAGCTGGTATAAGTGAAGCATCAGTGCCCTTAAATTATTTTTTGAAAGAAAAGGGATTAAAGTAGCATAACTACGATACAACCAACCATGGAGATTTAAATTACGATACCTACATCTTTTTCTTTTACATATATTGTCCATTTCAAGAGATTAAAAAGGTCGAATTGGAAAAGCTGTCGTTCAAAAGAATGAAAGCTGCCAGTTGATTAATATGTGTAATTTCACAAACAAAAGCCAACTTACATCAGAAAAAAGGATGGGCTTAACATCACATGAGGACAAATATTACCATTTGAATACCTGAAACTTAGTGAATGAAGAAAGCTGTGATTCCAGTGATTCCCTGGTTCAATAAATACAACCTCCTAAGGGAAGAACCGGAAGCAACAATAGCGGATGCGAGTTCCATCAAATTACATGAATATAATACTAAGTGAATGATTTAAAATAATAAAAACATTAGTGCTGCTTCCCTGCAAATGGGGCAAATGGTAAAGAGAAACAAATTACGGGGTTTTCAAATACTTAGGTTACATGTGCAAAATGAGGAAGTATTTGAAAACACTTCATATATCATGTAAAGTGAGTAGCAAATGAGCCTGTTTCTTTTGCACCACCTCCTAGGTCACTTTGTCTTCTGTACTTATCCGCAGACCGTAGCTTGAATTCCTAGTCATTAATATAAGTTAATTTTACTATTTTCTGGCATGAAGATCCTGATATTCTCACTTTACTGATATCTAAAGCAGAAGGTAATGTTCAGCATCTCTCAGGTAAGGTTTACATCCATACTATCGAAATTATCACCTGTGCCCGTAGGTCCTATCCGACAACTGCTACTTTGCCACGGTGGTCCGACATGAAAATCACAGCGACCTAACAACCTACCCTGACTGGGACATATATAACGGCAGGCCCTACAATGCCAAGAAGGTTGTTTGGATAGCGGTTAGACTAAGAGCAGTTACTATTGGCTATATGTGCCTCAGAATCCAAACGGATCGAATGACATACGAACTTGTACTGGTCACCGGCAACCATGGGAACGTAGCTCCCGATGCTGCTCCTCTGCCTTGTGGATGATACTTCAAGTCAAAGGCCCGGAGTTGGTCCCTTGAGATAGCCACCTGCTTCGGTCTGGGTGCGCGGGCAGTATCGCAGCCCTTGCACTAACAATGAAACAACAAATAATGAGGAAAATTAACCACACACTCATTCTCACGCTCACGAACAATGATGAAGTATTTTGGCAACGCGTTTATTGATAACTATTTTTATACATATACTTTCATGCTTTATTTTTACTATCCTCGGTGTCTTCACTTTCGTCAGCCTCTCACCTTCGTCTGAATTCTTAGCCCATCTGTGCCGTTTCAAGATGGCAGTAAGTAGCCTTGAGAACGCTGGTCCCCAGTGCGATATTTAACACGGATATCCTGAAACCGCGTGTCGCCACCTACATTGGTCGGACACTGATGCGAATCGGACAACAGGCAGGTCTGGTAAGAACATTGAAAAGCCCAGCTATTGATGCCTGCTGCATATCGGAAACCCACATTCAAGGCCCCGGTGAAGTGCTTCGAGTATCTTCTCCAAAGTTCGAATAGTATGCACCACCTGCGCTTATCTGGGGACCCTGTGGCGTCGGAATCTGGCGTAGCTGGTGTCGGTATCACACCAAACGATAGAGACGAGGCGGCGTTACTAGACTGAATCCCTATTAGCAACAGTCGTTTATATGCTGTGAAGCTGGGAGGTTATACGAGAGTAAGAAGCGGTAGGTCAGACAGGTGGTGCCTATTTGTTGTCTCCACCTATGCACCGACGGATTGCAGTCCGGATGCAATTAAGGATGAGTTTTACTGTCAACTGGGCGATCTCTTGAAACAGGTGCACCAGAGGGATATCGTGGTGCTGGCTGGGGACTTGAATGAATAGGTCGGGCGTCTAGGCTCAGAGGAGAGTCGTTTAGGTGGTCAGTGGGGATTACATGGTCTCAAGTCAGATAGTGGGGACTATTTTATACAGCTTTGTGCAGATCACAATCTATTTATAGGCAGCAATAACTTCCGGCACAGCAGCCATCGTCGTAGCACTACCTGACTCCCTCCCTCTGTTAATCAAGTATGAACTCTGATTTATCATTGATGGCGAGGATGCATACATGACTGCTGCTCCTTCTGGAGCACATGCCTGGATTCCGATCATGCTTTAGCGTGTACTAGGCTCATCTTGCAATTTGGTGGATATGAGAAAATCGGTAGCACCTACTACCTAGTTGAAATACCAGACCGAGTTACAATCAAAGCGTGCTAGCGACCCTCCAAGTAGTATAGATGAACATTAACTACATCTACAAGGCGCCATGCAAACCACGAGTGAAGCCGCTTGTAGCTTAAAAGAAGGCTCCGCTAGAAACCACTGGGTTTTTGAGGGTTCCTTGCAACTCCTGGATGAACGCCAGTCCATTCCTGCAGGTAGCGAGAACAACAACATGCGAAAGCCGCTTACGCGCAAGATTGAACAGTGTTCATTTAAGGACCGCGACGCATGGTGGTCAGAACAAGTGTGTGTGATGGAGTCAGTAGCTGCATCTGGTAACAGTCAGAAACTGTTCTAGCTTATCCAAGCCACCGGCAGCAAGAAACACGGTGTCCGCGAGGCAGATGGTAATTACCAATCACCAACCTATAAAGACGTCTGGAACGCTGAGCACAGCAATTTGTGAAGCAGTTTAGCTGGCCACCAGCGCTAGCATCCACTGTCATCAGCCTCAGTGCTCCTTGGTCGGTCAATACCGACCCAGAAGTCGAAGCGGAGGTCCGAAAGGAACTCCAATTGTTTAAGCACCATGCAGTACCCGGCCCAGACAATTTACCCCCTGCTCGTTTTAAAGATGGTGGCGAGATTCTCATCATGGCTTTGACAGGTTTGTTCGGGAAAGTATGGCGAATTTAGGATGTGCCATCAGTGCAGAATGAAGCCATCATCGTCCCCATCTTTAAAAAGGGTAGACGTAACACATGCAGCATCCATAGATGTAACAGTTTACTACCTATTGCGTCTAAAATATCGACTGCTATCCTTCTTCACAGGCTGTGCAAAACACATGAGGAATCGATTCGCGAAGAGCAGGCTGGGTTTCGTTTAGGCTATGGATGCATTGATCATGTATTCACCCTTCATCAGTTCTTGGAACACCGCCACACATATTTCAGACCAACAATCCTTGTGTTTTTTGATATTAAGGCTGTCTTCAATTTGTTGGATAGAACTATTCTCTGGAACTATCTGTTAGAGGGAGGTGTACCTGTGAAGTTTGTGAACATCCTGAAAGCCCTATAAAGAAATACCTCAGGTCGTGTAAGGGCATAAAACCAGATATCATCACTGTTCCTAAACAACAGTGAGGGTTGACAGGGCTGCCTAATCCCTCTATCTCTCTTTAACTTTGCCATCGATGACATTCTGGAATCAGCTCTGAAGGACGTACGTGGTGGCGGTTTAGATTTGCTTCCTGGTGGAAAACTTCCCGACCTTGAGTATGTTTTACAGTACTCTCTCACCAATCCCGAAAGAATACCAGTTCAATTCAAATTATGAATCTGTTTTACTCATCATCCTAAACATTTACATATTCGTAAAGCTGACATTCAACTCCTGAACACCAGAGATAGCGAAAATAAATATCGAATAATATGATATAAAACACAACAGTTAACTCATAGATAAAAAGCAGCAAAATGATATAAAGACACACGACTACGAGTCTAATAAAACGCTATTTTAATTTGTTTCATATGATCCTTAAGTTTATTGCACGTATTTGCAATTACAAAGAAAATAAATAGGCATGTAAATAAAGTGTCTCTCACTTTTGATGCAGATTCTCTGGGTAATAAGTTCGTCATAATTATCCTATTACGACTATGTGCATCAACATCCATGAAAAGGATAGATGAATGACCTCCTTCAGTTCCATAAATATTGAATCCAGCAATTGATTCTAGTGCAGCCTTTGCCATACAGATAGAACTAAAAAGCAGAATAAAGATACGAGAAAGCTAACATTAGCAGTATCTGAAAGCAATCAAATGAAATAATAAAATATTTGAAACAATCTACCAACTGTTCACGTCAAAATGAATTCTTTATGATTAATGAACACACACAGTTAGTCTGCTTACAGAGAGCAAACTAGATGAGCAATTAGTGCCTCTAAGTAACTTCAAGATTCATATAAACCATGACAATCTCCAAAACAAGGCAATTTTAATTGACATTAGCTAGTTTACATATTCAGCAACGAAAGTAGGATAGAATACGGCACCATGAAGATGTGACACACAATAATTATAAAACAGCAGAAGAAATAATAAGGTAAGGAATAAATAAAGGACTTCGTCTGGGAAGAAAGCGGTTATTTTTAACATGGCCAAACAACATTCGTCGAATTATTGTCAGAAGAGGAAGAAGGGAAAAAGTTGCAGCACGTTAGTGATGGTCAAATCAAAAGCCGTCATCAATCCATGAAGTCTTTGATTGTTACTCTGATACACATAAGGAGGTGTAGACTGCCTAGAGTCGTTGTAATTCTAAGAACCAATGGTTCGAGACTGTTGGTGATATGGCTCAAAATGATCCTCAGTGGCATAGATGTATCTACTTTTTTTGTAATTTCCCAAATCAATTAAACCCTCAATATTGTTTATATACTTATTATTTCTCGCCTTCATTTATTCTCACAACAATTCTTCCAAGTTTTTTTCCTTTACTTTGTGTGATATAGGGAGTGGGAGAACTTGAACTGCAACACCCGTGAGCAAAGTTTCAAGTTGTAAACCCAGTCAGTCAATAAACAAACAAGTTACATTACCATAATGAATAAAACGTGTTAGAAATACAAGTTTTTGTAATTATTACTTGTAAAGGCCACAAAAAATTCAGTACACTTCAAACGCTTTACGATATCGATAAAATAGTTGACTTCAGTGGCTAAATTTACCCAAGTGTTTAAGTGCGGGCCCGACCCTATCAATTGTATTTACAGCATAAAGGCTAACTAATTCGTTACCACAATCTTAGTAGACTTAGCACATTTTAACCACAAGAACAACTTGCAGTAATTAGAGTGGAGCGAAGGACTCCAGTTAATTCTTCTGCTTAGGTATACTATTCGGTAAATCAGAAGTTAAATGTTGGCATCTACATAGTGCAATGAGCACTAATTAAATCATGCTGTTAAATGCTGAGATAATCACCTTGTTTATAAGTGTAAAGTGGATATGGCGATTGGAAATGCTCGATATGAATAACTACGAAGTGTTCGAAAAGCAATACAGAAAAGTAATTATTCTCTGACTGAAATTGATTCATAATTACCTTATTTGAACTATAAATCATCTGTAACGTAAAACACTTTGGCAGAAGAATACTGAAAGCAAATATCTACTCCTTTTTTAATTGCAATCAAACCATCCAAATCAGGGAACACAGGAACACCAAAAACATATACCTGAGCTACAAATATTCATTACTTTAATAATGTTCACGTTTAATAATCAAAAACATATTAGCATCGTTATAAATATCCCATCTCATTGGTCAACCACAAAACAGTGGAGAAATAATTATAACAGGTCACATCGCCTTTCAACTGTACACTAAGTAACGAGTAGATACTTGGTATAAGTATAAAACTTGGGCACCGTGGCAGAGCTAAACTCCATTATGGATAAGATTTTATTTTGATAAATCACACAGTGTTATACAGTAATATTAACTGATGACGTTTCGGCCAGAAACTATTGCTCATCATCATATCAAGCTACTCACACAACTTTTTTCCTTCATTTATACACATGTGTGGAATCGATTAGATATTGGAATAAAAAAGCAATGTAGGATAATGTACATTCAGAAATAATAATAATAATATGAGTGTTATTGATCAATTACAATCAGATGGGAAATAAGACGGGTGTTTTATAGTCATAATAAGTTACTTGTTAGAATATTGTGATGTGCTTGAATTGAAATAGAATTTTAAGATTATTTATTATCCTCTTCTGATTTGACTGGCGGTAATAATATCTTCCATATTTCTGGTGCTCGCATTGAGTCATTCCTATTGCATGTGTTGGGTGTAGACTCGATGAACAAGGATTCAGTAATCAAACTCTTCCTCCACCTACGTAGATTACTTTTTAGAATTCTAACCCTCTCCCACCCTATTGTGTGATTGTGTGTTAATGCGTGAAGCGCGATTGCTGAGCTTTTTTCTAAATTACTTATCTTCTCGGGTTCAACCATTCTTACCTTAGCTAAATTCTTATGTTCCCACAATCTGACTACCCCTAACCTACTAGTTTGACCTATGTAGTTGACCTAACTCACAGTCATTGCAGGGTATTTTGTAAATTATATTATTTTGTCTAATCGGGTCTCAACAGGGTCCTTTAACCTACAGAGCTTGTCCGTGAGTGAGTTTGTAGATTGGAATGCCACTCTAATTCCTGCTTTATTAAGAATCCTACGTAGGGGCTTTTCTCAGATATCTCCTCCTTATATGGTATAACAACGGATGACTTATATTCTCTCTTATTTATGTTATCATTACTAGTTTCACAATTATTTTAGGATAGTTATTTGATACCAACGCTTCTTCTGTCTCTTTTATTTCATCATTTAGGTCCTTTCTTGTGCTACTTAGTGCTACTGCTCGGTTTGTTAGACACTTAACTAGGCCTGCGTTAACAGTTAACAGATGAGACAAATTAAAGTCTAAATATCTATTACAATGCGTTGGTTTTTTATAAACACTAGTGTGCAGTCAACCTTCCACGTGACAGGCGGAGATACCACTATTCTATTCATTTTATTTTACAATCTACCATAGCCAATTCTCCTTGTTCATTTTACGATTCAAATGTGAATTTTATTTCCTCTACTGGTGAGTTTATGTGTCAAGAAGCTAGAGATATGTTCTATTTTTAACACTGTGAAAGTGTCATTCAAATATCTTCACCATATTTTTGGAGTAGGATTAAGTGTATTAAGAGCACTATTTTCCGCCAGCACTCACACAACTACCCAGATACACGAACTTATCAACAACTTCAAGCGATTCACCTGTAAGAGTGAAGGCAGGTACAGGCTCCAGTCAATCATGTAACACTACCTTGGTCATAGATGGTGCAAATCACAGACCATACTTACAGACACTAACCACCGACTGATCAAGCGCGATTTGGGCAGCCTCCATGATATTGAACAGTAAGACGATATCGCCTACATACTCGAGGTCGGGAAGTTTTCCACCAGGAAGCAAATCTAAACCGCCACCACGTACGTCCTTCAGAGCTGATTCCAGAATGTCATCGATGGCAAAGTCAAAGAGAGATAGAGGGATTAGGCAGCCCTGTCAACCCTCACTGTTGTTTAGGAACAGTGATGATATCTGGTTTTATGCCCTTACACGACCTGAGGTATTTCTTTATAGGGCTTTCAGGATGTTCACAAACTTCACAGGTACACCTCCCTCTAACAGATAGTTCCAGAGAATAGTTCTATCCAACAAATTGAAGACAGCCTTAATATCAAAAAACACAAGGATTGTTGGTCTGAAATACGTGTGGCGGTGTTCCAAGAACTGATGAAGGGTGAATACATGATCAATGCATCCATAGCCTAAACGAAACCCAGCCTGCTCTTCGCGAATCGATTCCTCATGTGTTTTGCACAGCCTGTGAAGAAGGATAGCAGTCGATATTTTAGACGCAATAGGTAGTAAACTGTTACATCTATGGATGCTGCATGTGTTACGTCTACCCTTTTTAAAGATGGGGACGATGATGGCTTCATTCTGCACTGATGGCACATCCTAAATTCGCCATACTTTCCCGAACAAACCTGTCAAAGCCATGATGAGAATCTCGCCACCATCTTTAAAACGAGCAGGGGGTAAATTGTCTGGGCCGGGCACTGCATGGTGCTTAAACAATTGGAGTTCCTTTCGGACCTCCGCTTCGACTTCTGGGTCGGTATTGACCGACCAAGGAGCACTGAGGCTGATGACAGTGGATGCTAGCGCTGGTGGCCAGCTAAACTGCTTCACAAATTGCTGTGCTCAGCGTTCCAGACGTCTTTATAGGTTGGTGATTGGTAATTACCATCTGCCTCGCGGACACCGTGTTTCTTGCTGCCGGTGGCTTGGATAAGCTAGAACAGTTTCTGACTGTTACCAGATGCAGCTACTGACTCCATCACACACACTTGTTCTGACCACCATGCGTCGCGGTCCTTAAATGAACACTGTTCAATCTTGCGCGTAAGCGGCTTTCGCATGTTGTTGTTCTCGCTACCTGCAGGAATGGACTGGCGTTCATCCAGGAGTTGCAAGGAACCCTCAAAAACCCAGTGGTTTCTAGCGGAGCCTTCTTTTAAGCTACAAGCGGCTTCACTCGTGGTTTGCATGGCGCCTTGTAGATGTAGTTAATGTTCATCTATACTACTTGGAGGGTCGCTAGCACGCTTTGATTGTAACTCGGTCTGGTATTTCAACTAGGTAGTAGGTGCTACCGATTTTCTCATATCCACCAAATTGCAAGATGAGCCTAGTACACGCTAAAGCATGATCGGAATCCAGGCATGTGCTCCAGAAGGAGCAGCAGTCATGTATGCATCCTCGCCATCAATGATAAATCAGAGTTCATACTTGATTAACAGAGGGAGGGAGTCAGGTAGTGCTACGACGATGGCTGCTGTGCCGGAAGTTATTGCTGCCTATAAATAGATTGTGATCTGCACAAAGCTGTATAAAATAGTCCCCACTATCTGACTTGAGACCATGTAATCCCCACTGACCACCTAAACGACTCTCCTCTGAGCCTAGACGCCCGACCTATTCATTCAAGTCCCCAGCCAGCACCACGATATCCCTCTGGTGCACCTGTTTCAAGAGATCGCCCAGTTGACAGTAAAACTCATCCTTAATTGCATCCGGACTGCAATCCGTCGGTGCATAGGTGGAGACAACAAATAGGCACCACCTGTCTGACCTACCGCTTCTTACTCTCGTATAACCTCCCAGCTTCACAGCATATAAACGACTGTTGCTAATAGGGATTCAGTCTAGTAACGCCGCCTCGTCTCTATCGTTTGGTGTGATACCGACACCAGCTACGCCAGATTCCGACGCCACAGGGTCCCCAGATAAGCGCAGGTGGTGCATACTATTCGAACTTTGGAGAAGATACTCGAAGCACTTCACCGGGGCCTTGAATGTGGGTTTCCGATATGCAGCAGGCATCAATAGCTGGGCTTTTCAATGTTCTTACCAGACCTGCCTGTTGTCCGATTCGCATCAGTGTCCGACCAATGTAGGTGGCGACACGCGGTTTCAGGATATCCGTGTTAAATATCGCACTGGGGACCAGCGTTCTCAAGGCTACTTACTGCCATCTTGAAACGGCACAGATGGGCTAAGAATTCAGACGAAGGTGAGAGGCTGACGAAAGTGAAGACACCGAGGATAGTAAAAATAAAGCATGAAAGTATATGTATAAAAATAGTTATCAATAAACGCGTTGCCAAAATACTTCATCATTGTTCGTGAGCGTGAGAATGAGTGTGTGGTTAATTTTCCTCATTATTTGTTGTTTCATTGTTAGTGCAAGGGCTGCGATACTGCCCGCGCACCCAGACCGAAGCAGGTGGCTATCTCAAGGGACCAACTCCGGGCCTTTGACTTGAAGTATCATCCACAAGGCAGAGGAGCAGCATCGGGAGCTACGTTCCCATGGTTGCCGGTGACCAGTACAAGTTCGTATGTCATTCGATCCGTTTGGATTCTGAGGCACATATAGCCAATAGTAACTGCTCTTAGTCTAACCGCTATCCAAACAACCTTCTTGGCATTGTAGGGCCTGCCGTTATATATGTCCCAGCCAGGGACTGTAAACATTGGCTGGAATTGAGAGTGAATGGCCAATGTTTTTTGCTTATATGATTATTGAATGTGAGTTGGAAAGTTGATCACATTCTCCCCATGAATTCTTTATTATGATTTGAACCAGCTTTCAACATCCTTGAAATTTGCTTCCTATTAATTAATAAGGTATTCCGTCGCCGTGCATCTGAGGTGTGTTGGTATTTGTGATTACCTTACACACATTTGCGGTTAAATGTGTAAATATTTTGCTGTTATATTATCGCTATATGGCTTATTGACTTAAGTACTCAGCTTTCAGTTATTATATTCCGGCTTCGGATGTTACTACACCTAATCCTGCCTACGATACTGGGTAGCGTTTCCAGTCATCACACATGCGCGACTCATAGCCTGGTGCTTTTATTTGTAGAACTTTACCAAATATCTTTTCGTGATCTATTCGCAAGTGTCTTAGATTTTCCCGCTAATGCTGTTTTAGGAATTTTACTGGAACCAAGTATTTTTAATTTAGAATTGTTTGAAGAACTGGATTCAGTAAAGGAGTCTTTAAAAATATTACAGCATTAGAACTTGATTAATGTTTACCTAATCCATATATTTATTGTACCGAACAGAGTGGTCTCTTTTTCCAGCATACTGCTCGTTTGACTTTCAGTTTTTTGAAGTATAATTATTAGTGATCAATTTCTAGATACTGTGTGGCGTAAATCTGAGGAAATCACTGTGATAGATATATAAGTAGAGTGTAAAGTAAATGCTCATCACCAGTGCACATTATTATCTTCTTACTTACTTTAGTGATCGGTATCGCACAGTATTTGGTATCTAATTCACTTTCATATGCGTTTTCTCTTAAAATTGAATCATTTTTAGCCTGAAAATTTGATAGAGGTGTTTAATCCGTTATATCTCTAATTTTGATGTTGTATAAAGATCTGTTGTTATTATATTTTTCTCGATAATTCCCTTTCTCCGTTGCCTGGATATTTTTAACAATGAAATTTATTCAAGGCTAGGTGTTTTGAAGCTTCAATTCTACGTTAAGTAACTAATGTCTATATAAGTAGAGTTTAAAACAGAAAATGTTTGATTCCACGTTGTTTTTCATATCAGTTGGTATGATATGGTCAGTAACAATCAGATTGAGCTCAGGGTGTTGAATAGGTAGCAAGCATCAACCAATGAGCTTGTGAAACTGCACCGAAGGTTGAGATGGTTTGCATATCACTCCATCGCCAAACGCATGAAACGTGGTGTCTTAAAGCAATTCTGGCAATTATGCAGGACCAAGAGGATGAAATGGAAAGATAATGAATCATTAACAAAAGGGAACATCTTTTTTCGCCACTAGGATTATCCAATCATAAGAGTCGTTTAGAGACTTACAACTTAAAAGTATTCTAATGAAAGCACAAAGAAAATCATATCACAAATGACGAACATTTTTGAAATCACTGCAAGACTACAAAAACCTTTTTGAATAGTTATAGACTAGAAACCAAAAAAAAAAACACTTTAATCCATATCATGTCAATCAAAGACACAACAAAAAAGAAGACAAAACCAAAACCATCTACAACATAAATTGTAACAATTGTGAAAAATAGTATATTGGTCAAAATGCTCGCCCTCTTCCTCTTCGGGTCCACGAACATAAACTAACCCACAAAAGAAGTGAGACACGTTCCCTCACACCACTGCCTGCAAATAACTACGGGCACCGACAAAACTGGGGAAATGTACAAGTCCTAAACAAGGGAAACATCAACGCTGCCAAGGAATTTCTAGAAGCACAGCACCCAGACAAATCTGCAACCAACAGACATTGACACAAATAAGACTTATCAATCAATGAAAAAGCACGTGAACGAAAGGTTTCACGTCAACAAAATAATTAATACCACCATAACAAGGACTAGACGGTGGAAAATAATCTCCAGAAGCAAACAATCACCTTCATGGTTACCAGGAGAGATGGCTGATAGATTCTAAAAGTCCACTCTAAACTGAATTCATAGCGGATGATGTTGTCTAGGAAGACAATGAAGGCTTCGTAACTAAGCTATCATGCACAAAGAAAACAACTACACAAATAAGAGAGCTAACTGCCATGCAAAAGTTAGTCAAGTGCAGCCTCCAATCCTTGATTAATACCCATGTCTGATTTGTTACATGTTGCAATTAATATATCTATTGAAATTTTGCCAGTCAAATTGCATCACTAGCTCTTACATGACCGTTTTAATCAGACTACAAAATGAAGGGTGAAGAAAGATACAATATATACATTGTATACTGCATAACTTCAAGCTATAGTAAATCTTTTACCTGGCGTGCAATTCTGTTATGTTACGATTCTGCTTAGTTCCACGTTCCCACATTCCGTAATCTGGGATACGATAAGCTCTTTCCAAGTAGAATATGAGATTCTGAACAAACGCTACTTCATCCTTTGTATAAACGATCTGGACCGAAAATAATATAAAAAACACTGATGACAATATTTCATGTAGCTTGTCGGTACTGAAGTAGGGAATTCATTGTACTGTATACTGACGAAAAAATGCACGCTGGTGATAAAGTAAAAATATTTTGAGGCTAATTTTTTATTAGAAGGTAAGTGATACCTTTTTCGAGACCTGCTTGTTGTTTAAAACCTGTCGACGAAGTGGAAGATGAGGCCAGTCAGCTACATATTATCATTTTCAAAGCACTTTATTTGTAGTCCAATGTATGTGAACAACCAGGGATAACAAATGATACGACTTGGGAATTTATGTTCAACACCTAAGGTGGGTAAGTAATGTTTTTGGTGGGTTTAATAACTACCTACTACAAAGAAGAACACAAATGAGTCAGATTGTGAAGTAAATGAAAAAATCTGAGATGGTAGATTGAGGACACTAAGAAGTAACGACTAAAGTCTTTCATTGGGGAATTAAAGATAATCGTTGGAGAAAGTCGACGTTAATAATGGTGTTCTCTCAATTAAAGCTCATACTAATTCATAGTTGCAACATATGATGGAAAAGTCTTCGCAGTGAAGTATGCGCTGAAGATGTCGCCTAGTAGGGCAATGAAAGCTTCGCAAATAAACTACCCAGCTCAGAGAACACAACCACATCAAAAATAGTTGTAACATACACTACAATACTCTTTGATAATATGAAAAGAATGACAAAGTAAACTACATCTAATAGTTACTTCAATGAAATTTCTCTAAGAAGCATGTAGCGGTTTAAGTGGGAACACAGTTTCTTATAAAAAGGGAACTAACCTGAAGTCCAGAATGAATCATTTGTGTCAACTGAATAACATATAATCCAATACAATCCATTTGCAGGTTTTTGTAATGGTCATCATATATGGGTTCCCCAGTCTCGTAATCAAAACGTGGATGCAGACAAGTATCCGAATTTTGAACTCTTTTGAAATGTTCTAACTGAAAAAACAAGTTCGAAGTAGCCATCCTGTGGTACAAACAATTAACTGAAAATTTAAGTGCAGAGGTAATAGTCCTTCTATTTAAGCAAGCATAATGATGCCCAGTTTTATTATTTTTTGATATTACAATTTCTGGACTGAATTTTCAGTGCAGAACATTCCACAAAAGTGTAGCAGTTCAAATCGCCACACTTCATAAAGCAAACAATGGTGGAGAAAAACTACGAAAAAATTATAGTGAACACCACGAATAGTGAGAATTCATTACATTTAGGAAATCCCAGAGTGGAATCATGTGAGCCACAGACAATTATTTGGAACAGTCTCCGAACACCTATTCTTAACGTTTTGAAGGCCACCGTAACATAGTCTACACCTCCCTGGTGGTTTAAAGCAACAGTCAAATACATCACGAACTGGAGCTACGTTTCCGTCTGACCCCCTATAACTCTTTTCTTAGACAATCTTACGCCAGATCACATTGCTTATACAGGAAGGTAATGGCTTAGTGTGCGTAGCACGTGTCCCAGTCACCTTAATAGGTGCAGCTTTATAACCTCATTGATTGATGCTTGCTCCTTACCAAACACTACCCTTAATCTTATTATTACTCACCATATTATACCATCTGGCTCGAGAGACATAAAGCAAACATCTATAGTCGAAAACAGTTAATCACTGCAAATCCTTGACATTTAACGGCCATTTTTCACAGCATTAAAAAAGGGCAGAGCAAACTGGTGGGCAGTATACACGCCTTTTAACTGCTAGCCTGATGGCAAGCATGCATCGGAGATGGAGCAAGTTGGCAAACGCTGGACAAGCTTTTAGTGTCTGTGCTGAGATATCGTCATCAGTCAGTTCATTAGGATTGCTGCAAATTTTCAAAAATAAATGAACTGGTCAACACATTCAACCATCTTACCCCTATCAATAGATTAACTGTCAGTGTACACCAGTCCCACAGTATAATATGACATTTGACAGCAAACGACTGAATGCCAAACATAGCCAGATTTCTCCTCAAGACGTTCAGCAGGCAGCATTTAATCAGCATCTTCATTACGAGGACAACAAATTCAGCATACTACGAAATGCCGAAACTGTTTCCGGGCAACAAATCAGTCCCTCATTAACCAAGTTGACAAGAGTCACCTCTATTACATATCTGTGATATCAATACGCCAATAGAAGACACAAAACGTTCAGCGGACACGAATCCCTCAACGATATCAGAGAGCTTGAATGAAATTCGGTCATTAGAGGAAGCCAAGATGGGCAGCAGAATAACACAGAATTCATTGAGGAGCATAGAAAAAATTAGAGACCTGAGTAGGTATGCTCACGCCACTATTGCAAAACGTTTGGAAGGAAGGAAGTGTACCTATTGATTGGAAGAAAGACCATCTTGCCGAACTACCAAAGAAAGGCGATTCAGGCCTCTGGAAGAACTGGCGTGGAATTACGCTCTTCTTCATGCCAAATAAAATACTGTGTTGCATCATCCAGGAGAGAATCAAAGATGCACCGTCCACCGGAACAAGCTGGATTCAGGAAAGGCAAATCATGTACTGATCAAATTGCAACTCTACGCATCATCATCGAACAAAACATAGAATGGAAATCAAATCTCTACCTCAACTCCATCAACTCTGAAAGGGTCCACGAAGTGTTTTGGGAATTGCTTCAACGCTACGGGGTGCCCCTAACCTTTATCAATCTCATTCAACAACTATGTGACAATGCCATATGTCAAGTGATCCATAATAGAAAACTCAGCGAAGCCTTTGAAGTGAAGACATGATTAGGACAAAACTGGTTGTTATCAATGATGACATTATTGACTGTGGTAGGCCGGATTATGCATCAGACTGTGAGGAGCTAGAAGACAAGAATACGTTGGCCCGATAGGAGGACCCCAGAAGATCTGGGTTTCGCGGGTGATTTATGTCTAATGTCACACAAACTCGGAGACTTGCAGCCAAAAAGCAACAAACTGACTGAAGAAGCAGGCAGCAAAGACAGGATTACAAGTGAACATAGGGAAGACGGAGGTGATGAAGACAACGAAACAACAGCAACAACAACCAGCACCAATCACCACCAACGAGAAAGATTTGTCACAGGTTACTTTCTTCACTTATCTAGGAAGCATAGTTTCAATCACAAGCAGGACGGATGGAAATGTCAAAACCTGCCACAATCGGAAAGGTAAGACACACCTTCATCAACCTGAAACCGGTTTGGAAATCTTCTGGACTCAGCCGGCTTAAAAAAGACTAGGATTTTCAACACAAGTGTAAAGTTGGTCCTTCCTAATGGGTCAGAAACTTGCACTGCGTGTCACGGAAACCATTTCCAACAGGCCACTACAGGCGTTTATCAACAACTGCCACTTTGTCTGGCTTCATACTGATCAAATGGCCGACCGGAAAGAATTAGCAACAAGAAACTGTGGGAGCAAAATAACGAAGAGTCGATCGCTCAAGAAATATGTAGGAGAAAATGGAGATGGATCGAGAACACGTTGAGGAGTCTGTCGAATGACATAGAACGCCAGGTGTTCAGTTGCAATCCAAATGGGAAACGAAGAGTGGGTCGTCCTACGGTGACAAGGAGGAGATTGTGTGAGGAGATGAGAGATTATAGGTGATCATGGTTCCAGCTGAAGAGGACGGCACCAAACAGAACAAAGTAGAGATGTGTATGTATCACTCGGAACCCACGGGAACAACAATATATAATCATAATACTGCGATATGCTTTCTCCGATCTACTTTCCTACCACACACTGTTAAAACGCCTCTCGCCCGACGAAAGAGAATGTTATAAACAACTATAGTGCTTCAATGCCCAATAAGGTAGTATATACTTAACCCCCAATAAAACTCGAATATTAAGGTACATATCCAAGTGAACTATAGAAAAAAATTATTATCATAAACAATGCTAAAACAATACGCACTCGTGTAGACTGTTGCATCCAACCCATCAAAATGCTACGCATGCATTTAACAGCACTTTGCCCGAGTTCATAATGACGGCCTTCATCATCATCCACTCGTCTGCAGAATAAAGAGGAAACAGGAACAATTTGGAAACCTTCAATATTTCACCATGTACATTGGATAAAAAACATTACATTAAACTATAGCGAATTCCTTCCAAAGACGAGGAAGTTCGCAATGCAATTACCTTGTTGAAACGTAGCAGAACCAGGCGGAATTCCTTCGGAAGCATTGAAAAAACTAGAGACCTGAGTAGGTATGCTCACGCCACTATTGCAAAACGTTTGGAAGGAAGGAAGTGTACCTATTGATTGGAAGAAAGACCATCTTGCCGAACTACCAAAGAAAGGCGATTCAGGCCTCTGGAAGAACTGGCGTGGAATTACGCTCTTCTCCATGCCAAATAAAATACTGTGTTGCATCATCCAGGAGAGAATCAAAGATGCACCGTCCACCGGAACAAGCTGGATTCAGGAAAGGCAAATCATGTACTGATCAAATTGCAACTCTACGCATCATCATCGAACAAAACATAGAATGGAAATCAAATCTCTACCTCAACTCCATCAACTCTGAAAGGGTCCACGAAGTGTTTTGGGAATTGCTTCAACGCTACGGGGTGCCCCTAACCTTTATCAATCTCATTCAACAACTATGTGACAATGCCATATGTCAAGTGATCCATAATAGAAAACTCAGCGAAGCCTTTGAAGTGAAGACATGATTAGGACAAAACTGGTTGTTATCAATGATGACATTATTGACTGTGGTAGGCCGGATTATGCATCAGACTGTGAGGAGCTAGAAGACAAGAATACGTTGGCCCGATAGGAGGACCCCAGAAGATCTGGGTTTCGCGGGTGATTTATGTCTAATGTCACACAAACTCGGAGACTTGCAGCCAAAAAGCAACAAACTGACTGAAGAAGCAGGCAGCAAAGACAGGATTACAAGTGAACATAGGGAAGACGGAGGTGATGAAGACAACGAAACAACAGCAACAACAACCAGCACCAATCACCACCAACGAGAAAGATTTGTCACAGGTTACTTTCTTCACTTATCTAGGAAGCATAGTTTCAATCACAAGCAGGACGGATGGAAATGTCAAAACCTGCCACAATCGGAAAGGTAAGACACACCTTCATCAACCTGAAACCGGTTTGGAAATCTTCTGGACTCAGCCGGCTTAAAAAAGACTAGGATTTTCAACACAAGTGTAAAGTTGGTCCTTCCTAATGGGTCAGAAACTTGCACTGCGTGTCACGGAAACCATTTCCAACAGGCCACTACAGGCGTTTATCAACAACTGCCACTTTGGCTGGCTACCAAATTAAGGCGAAATCGCCAGAAGGAATGTATTTTTTCTCAGTAAAAGCTAACTACTGCTTACTGGAGCTTTCAGTTTTGTATGAGATTATCCCGGAAAAAACTGAAAGGAAATAGTCGCATTAGATTACACATTATTTCTTTAAGCAAACGATTTCATATTGTTAAGAAAATTCAAATTGCTTGAACTAAATAATCAAAATCTAAAGAATATGTATATCCATTGTCTAACATTTAATACTATTCGGAAGCGAAATTTTGATTTCGCTGAACGTCAGAAAGCTTCCACGTGAAGATACAACTGAAGTCACCAAACAGCCATTCGCCTGAATAATGTGACAAAGACTGAAAAATGGTTATTACGCTGTGAACACATAAGCAAAATAAAAAGAATAGGGTTAACTCACGAGAAACACCTATGTAAAGCCCACACAACTGTGGCGCAGTACACGGAATCCCGTACATGACTGTACCTACAGTTAGAATTCATAGGTATGAGAGGAAATAATCCACTGATAGGGTGTTGAAACCGAAGAATTTGGCTTTTCACTAATAAAACAATTAGGAAAGAATAAACAGAATAGAAGTTTAATGAATGTGGGGTTAGTTACCCAATTTTAAAATGCTGGATAACTAGAAAGACAAGTTTACTGGCTATATCTTTCATTCAGTTTCAGTAAAGATTACTAACTATATAAGAGTAGGAAATTCACTTTGGCTCCTATGTTTTTAAAAATCGATGCCATTTATGTTGCAGATGATGCTAGTTTTATGTTCTCTTGATGGAAATAGTATTGAATGATTTGTAAACGACATCCATCCCAAAAAGATTTTATATTCTTGTTGAAGTCCCCATTATCGTATCCAAGAATATAAACTTGCGGACAAAAGATACGATATACATTCATTAATATCAGTTCTCGAGGACAATTATAGACATCAATCCAACCGAATATTTGTTAAAATCTTAGCTAAAAGAAACACTAGAAATGCCAAGGAATTCCTAAAAGCCTAGTACTTAGACTTATTTGCGATAGACACAGGTTGATAAGCATCGAATTTATCAGTCAGTAGAGGATAAACCGAGATTAGAATTTCAAATCCGAGGTCAATGAAAAAAATCAGCACAAGATTTGAAATGTTTGGAGACAACCTATCACAGTGCAAGTCAACCGAACAGAAGGTTATCTCATTCATGAAGAATTGCCAAAGTTTATGAAGAGGTTGTTCAGAAGCGCATTAAAAGCTATATTGTTAAATTACCCACCAAAGATAACAAATCACCAACTTCAGTTGTAAATTATCTACATTATTTCATCACCAATTATCTCAAACTCTTCCTAATAAAAGGCATTAACTATAGAGCGCAAACTGAACTATGTGATATCTAATTCCAAGGAAGTTCTTTTATTAGATACACCAAGCAATGAAGCTATATCATTAACTAAATGACTATTATTATATTACACTTGAGCTTCAATAGAACATCTCCATTTCATCCTGTTCTCTGCAGTCCTCTTTAGCTTACTCTACGACAGCACGTAGGCTCTAGGCTCCTTCCCACCACTGGCTACAGTTGGTGACATCATGATACCTACTCCCTCACTGTGCCCGTAGTTTTCATTTGGGTGACCAGAGTAAACTATTCACTCTCCACTTGGCAGTATCGATAGTCCATACCCATTCCCGCTGCTTACGCAGATTTCTAGTACTCCCATGCCGTATTTCCTCATTTCTTTGGTAACCTGGGTAGCCTTCTCAGATATGTACATTGTACGAATATTCCGTTTCCCCATCCTTAATTTTGCTTCCGTCGAAAGATCAAAATGGACTGACTGGCTTCCCGAAGGGTTTCACCAACCAGCATCATTTTTCTCTCCGATTCCAGTGAAGAATACGTTCCTCTTATATTTGTAATATTTTTGTTATGAAGTTTCTGTAGCGATTGGATTGATTTTTTGTAATAGGGTTGCTAGCCCAACATCCAACTGCTCTTTCCCTGCCTTGGGGCCGGCTATAACTAGCGAGCTAGTAAACTAGACCAGGTTACTAAATGATCATATGAAGAATATCTGTTCTTCGTAACAGCATCAGCGGTTGTTCAGTAAATAATATTGGTTCACTTTAGGTATCCAACAAAATAATACAGAAGAATATCTAGTTGAAAAAATTTATTTTGATATTAACGTATATCTTACTAAGCAATAAGTTAATTAAAAACATTGAAAATACTATTAAGAAAACAGTCACATACCGACACGATAATAAAAGTCTAGCTTTTCTTTCAACGTGCAATCTTTCAAATTATTTCGCTGAACAACTGTCATGTCTATTTTCAACGAGCAAATAAACTGAACAAAGATTGGTAGCTATGGTTCAACACATTCAAGTTAGAATCTAAGTGTAGAAAATGATAGAAATACCGTAAATGTATTAAATTACCAAATAATTTGTACAAGACTAAACATGTAGGAATATAATAATTGCATAAAATCTCACAAACGGACAAAACAAGAAATTGGGAATTAAAATTTATAGACACAGTAATTTCATAATAAGTTTAACTTCATCAGTCTGTATCATTTTGTCAAGGCCTTTTGATCCAGGCAGCCATATCATTCGTTACCATATCCAAGAAGTACAACACCAATTCATCGAAGATTTCTATAGTTAAAATTAAAACAAGGCATATAGGTGAACGATATTGTTTTGATATACGTTCTCCCCAGACCTTACTCTAGGGTACATAGCCTTTTACATAAGATCTTTAGCCAATGAAGAATTTGTGATTGGTAGATGTTGTAAATAGGCCACTATTAAGGGTTACGGAAATAGGAGTAATAATGATAATAAGGTAAATGAGAAGAGTAAAGCAGTCGACTCAGGTGCTGACAAAAATAATGATGGTATGATAATTTAAAGAATTCAAATAATTAGATTAACTGTTACTTAGTGCTATAGATGAAGTGGATAAATAATCATAGTTTAAATAAATATATTATAAACTTATGGAAGGAGTGAAGAATATATATATATGACGAACGTAAATGTGAAACGATGATATCCTCATGTGTACATTCCGTGCGTATGGTCCCGCAGGATCAATGAGGAAACCAACCTGCTAAGGATTTCCTGAATGTCATCTTGGGTTCTAGTCTGTGCTCTTAAAGAAACCATTTCAGAAGATTTCGAATTTACTTACTACAGAATGTTAGAGTTAGTTCAGAATTAGTGGGACTTAATTCAGCATTATGGTTAGCTTGGGATCTTACCCAGAGTCATACACACAAATTTCTGGTTGGTAGATAACCCCTGCATTCGAAATTGATTTGTTTAATAGAGAGAAATTGTTACGACTGATATGATTATAACAATAGATTATATGACCGATGAACAGATTGATATGTAATTACGCCATACTACACTCTACACGTTTTACATATATGTTGGTTAAACACCGAATTATTTTTGATATAACCCAGCTAGCATTTTTTCAGGCGCATTGCAGACTTTTTGGGGCAAAACCTTCGGGTAGATCTACTTACGTGGGACAGTGTCCCGAAGTCTGCCCTAAAAGGTCTGCAATGCGCCCGAAAAAAATGCTAGCTGGGAAGTATAAAACTTGGCCACTGTGGTATAGCATAGCTCCATTAGGGATAAGATTTTATTTTGATAAGTTGCACTGTTGTACAGTAATATTAACAGATGACGTTTCGAGCACAAACTATTAATTGCTCATAAGCATATCCAGTCTTACCGAATTATTTTGAATAAGTGAAAAATAACATACTTGTTTCACCTTCTGAACAGTAAAGCAATGATCAAATACACTTACATGTGAACGCCGCGAGTCCAACAGATAATAGCTCTCAACTAGCTGGCAGAAAGCAGAATAATGGCGAATTCATACTATAAGGTTCCTGGGATGCGGACGCCTTAATGACCTTGAACGCATGATGGTCGTTTGCTAACTATACCTGCCAGTGCACATATGAACGCTGTTTATCATATAAGGAGGGAATTTAACCCAGATCACGTTTTTAAATACTGCCTAGATAACGGATTGATAACGCGTAGTCGCAGACGTACTTGTGGTGCTTCATGAACCTGCAATCGTGCTTTTATCGGCTGGAGTTATCCGGCATGTTGGTTGAAATTTCGCTCAGTAAAATTTGTTGGCAATAATATTTAGTAAAACTGTGTTATTGGTTATCTAGATTGATGGAAATTCCTATTTCCTGGCTAGTTCCGTTGGTGTCCGCGTCATGTGATCTGACTGCGTCACACTTAGCATATTGGTTGCAATGATTAGTTTCAAGTGTACGGTGTCAAAATATCACTATAATGAGGAAGATGGGATAGTCAGATTGTGATTCCATCTACACCAATAGTTTAATTCATGTAAAAGCTGCACCTTTCGGCAAAGTATCATTGATTGTGGGCTTCACGGCAAAGTTCAACAGTAGCGTCCCCGGAGTGCGAACGCCCGAGTGACCTTCAGGTGACTGATCATAAAAATGAAGAATGTTTACTCAAAAAATGATGTATATGCTTGAAAACTCACTAATCAGGTTATCTCGGCAGCCGTAATTTTGAGTGACCGCTAATGAGATAAGCAAGCGATTTGCTCGCTTGTGATTGGCCAGTTTGTCATTCGAGTTGAGGTAATTTCAAATATCATTTAGCTACTTGGTTAAGTGCTGAATTTCCAGGAGCGTTTTATCAAGTCGGATAGATAACTGACAACAGAAACTATTATAGCTCAGGAGAGAAATGATATGCCAGTGGAATTATTTGCTGAATTCAACGAATTCATGCCAAATTAAGATCTAAGGACTTCTCAGAAGTTTCAAGAATGAAAACAATGTTCTGAAGATGTAATAACTTCAAGCAACTTCAATTATCTCTTGAACATTATTTTCAAAGATCCTTAAGTAAGGGTAATATACACATTGGTATGGTTAATCATGATAAAAACGGCATGTTTGATGCAGCATATACGTATACTTATGTATATGTAGGTATACCTACTTATACTGTATTCTTGTCACGAAGATCGGAAAGCAGGTATCAAATGTCTCAGTAAGCAGTGTGATACATGTAAGCTACATGTTTTTATTTGACATAAACTGGATCTCCGCTCACTTTCAGAATTAATCTTGAATTCAGTTGGAATAAGCTAGTTGAGCACATCATTATTGAGACAGTACACTGAAAGTAAGTGAACACATGCTTCTTAAGATTAAGTGGTACATTTATTTGATATTATTGTATTATTATTAGTTGTCTATGTAAGTTCATGATCAATTCATTGCGATAATAATACCTATTATTGTTTTTATAGTCACTATGAACATAAGTGTTATTATTGCTGTCAAGACCTATTATTTGTCATAAAGTGGTTGTCATTTTTGCTAAAATATTTGTACAAGCTTTGGAAACTACTGCATAACTTGTCGTTAAATAATTTTATCATATCATGATGCTTCGATGGACCCATTAGATATCGACCAACGATGAATTGCGAAGTCCCTTAAGTTTAGTGAAAACTATTGCGCTACTTATAAATATATATTGTTTGTAAAGTGATTACTTGTAAATGCTTATCAGGAAACTTTTTTTATTCAGATCATACATGTAATAACCAAGTTAATTATGCTTTTCTTAAACCTTTTCAAACTTATGGAAACACATATATGCGCCGTGTACGCAGATGGAACTTACTGACAGTAACTACTCATGTGAATTATCTGTACATCTGAAATCTGATTTTTGTTTAATAAACGATTTTTAGTGAATCTGTTTTCCTAATGTTGTAATGCGATTGTGTTCCCGTAACATAAGGAGTTGACGGTGGCCGTCAACGGCGGCCTGCTTGAACATAGGGCTACCAAAAATTCCACCTTACATCATTTTGCAAAATTGCTTTGGTTTGCTCTTTTAATTTTGTTTTAATTTATCAATAATGTGTCCTAATCGTATTATATATAATCGCGCATTTTTAAAATCATTACAACGTAGTGCGTTGTGTCATCCACAAAAATTGAGAAAAAAGCATCACTGTGGCTGGCAGCGTGCACTGAAACGTACACAAGTTAATCAAATGACTGTTCCTGAACTCGTTAGCACTAATTGTAGATCCCTGTCCAACAAAATGGATTATCTCCAATCCCTAATGTATTCCAATGTTTATCGAAATGCTGGAGTTTTAGCAATACAAGAGACTTGGCTGCACCAGTATTATGATGATAATCTAGTTTCAATAAATGGATATAAAGTTTTTCGCCAAGATAGAAATCGTTCCAAGAAAAAATATGGAGGAGGGGTAGCCACATTTATAAACACAAGTTGGTCTACATGAAATCACGTTTGCTTCAATTATTCTAATGACAATACAGATTGCATAACCGTCAGGTGTCGCCCAAAACACTTAAGTAAATATTCTTATATATACATAACAAATATTTACATAACACCCAATTGTAGCCTTTCTAATATAGTTATGTTTGCAGATGAGTTTACTGAATTCGCTGCTCCTGCATTCGGAAATTCGTTGTCTATAGTCTGTGGTGATTTCAATTCATGTGACCACAGCTTTCTTACTTCTTTTGGTCATGAGAATCTAGTCAAGTTTAATACACATCTGGACAAATCACTAGACCTGGTTTTCATAAATGACCGTGATGTATATGAAACCCGAAGGAGAGCTCCTTTGCTAAACTCTGACCACTGCATTATTCGTATTTTACCGAAAGTGTACGGCAAGTTACAACGAACATTGTTTAGTCATTTAACAAAGAAGATACATGAACGTTCATATTCCCATGACAACATTCTAGCATTAAGAAGCATGTTGCATGATACCAACTGGGAACTATTTACTGACGATAGGTTGGATACTACTGTCTCTAATATAACCGATTATCTCAAGTTTTCTTTGGAAATTTGCAGTCCATATGAAACACTGTTTTCGAGATTTGACAGAATCTCTTCTGTGCAACTCAAATCATTAACGCATCATTTAACAGGGAAACGGTACCTGCTGACAGGAAAGAAATCAAGGTTGTACCTGTACAGAAATCATCTTCTGGAGCAGGTATAAAGTTTAGGCCGGTCGCTATAACATCTCCTTTTTTGAAAACTATGGAGAAACTTCTTTTGAATATTCTTAAACCTTCTTTAAAAGCTTTTAGTGACCCTAAGCAGTTTGCTTATAAGTGTGGAAGAAGTACATTAGATGCAGCCATTGTACTACACCACAATATTGTTTCCTGCCTTGATAAGGGTGCTAAGTTTATTCGAACAGCTTTTTTAGACTATACTGCAG